GGTGCTGCTTCAGTATCCTCTTTTTTCAGCTTCTATCGGACATACAGAGGTCGTCAGCTCAAAACACAACAAGGTCGACTAGAAGACCCAGAAATGCTGGACAGAATTACGAGGCGAGTGTAAACTTAAAATTTTACAAGGGCGATGAGAACGGATCTATTTCCTGCTGTTCAAGTTTCTCTCTGCAGACCATATCTCTACACCTAAAGACAGTTGATCACATGGCAGAGGGTGGTGCCATTTTGTTGGAGTATTTACCGTCATTGGTGGAGTGGACTACTCACCACGCTGGGATTGTGGTAAATACCACTTCTTGAATTACATCAAATGACATCATGAAACCGCACCACCTTCCGGCCATCAAGTTCTGCTGATGACTGCTCATTATCTTCAGGGATATCCGCCATTCGATGGTTGGTGCTCGTGGTTGGAAGGCGGACTATGCGCTGTTGGTGACTTGGGAAAGAATGAGCTATGGAGGGGCACCCAAAGTCACAGATATGAGCAAGTACGAACAGGCAAAACGATGGGTATGTTGAAATAGATAGAAGGGGAACACTGCTGCTATGTACTTTAAAGCAACAGTCCCAGCAGGGTGGGCGTGGTCGGAAACGGCTGCAATCCCCTCGGCCGATTCCCACTTCGGAGCTGTTCAGCCCCTAGTCAAGAACGTAAGAAGTGTGACTGAACAAAAACTCACCTTGGAAAGCCGCTAGGCAGGGAGCTGAAGTGGGCGTGGTCGGAATCGGCCGAGGGGATTGCAGTCGTTTCCGACCACGCCCACCCTGCTGGGACTGTTGCTTTAAGGAACGATTCAGTTTCACTCGTAATTTGGAAAGATATTGCTGGAGTAAAGTTAGTAACCCGGAGGTCCGGAAATCCCATACCCTGTACCATCTGTATGTTATTGTTTTCCACCTAAGATATGTCTCGCTTTTATGTGAAGGTCAGCCAGTGTTTCTTGACTAGTGGGGCATTTACTATGAAGTCGACTGCATTCCACGGTCTACACTATTTGCCGAGATATCCACTCGGGCCGATTGTTCCCACAGCTGAAGACAAAGCCGCCATAAAACGAATGTCCATGAAAGCGAAACATGGGTAGTGAGAGGTTTGTGAAGCATCCAAGAAGAAGATATGTAGTGCTTTTGCAGCGAAGGCACGCCATCGGGCGCGAAAAGGCGCAGAAATTGCGCATGAAGGCCCGGGTTCTCAGACACGCCCACCGCTTGATTACGGCAATGGAAAAGAACTCGTTATCGTAATGGACTTCTTTTCTTTTCCTACTGCACAGTTGCCCTGGTCATCGAAATAGTACCCACCGATCGATCGTTTTTCACTCGATATGTTAGCGATAAACTCGTCCATTCCTGAAATGTCTGGAACAGGGTCCAGTGTTCGGGTTACCTAACGGGCTAAAAGTGGGTCCCGTTTCTCGGGTTTGTCACCATTTCTCTTGTATTTTTCACGGCTCACCGTATCACATCTCTAGTTTCACATTTCAAAGGCATCAGCTTATCGCAAGAGCGTCCTTGCACTGAAACCTCAATTTCCCCTGACAATCCCAACAAATCAACCAAAATTGATTAAATAACTTTACCTTCTGAAGTCACCTTAGCTCGGTTTTAAACTTACACATGTTTGTTAATACTGCTTGATTCTCAGCAAAACACCTATCAAATGGTGCTGGCGACGGACGAAATCCGAACGTACTGCATGCTGAACTATGCGAACATCAATTGGACGTCGTCTTCTCAAAGTGGAGCTCTCACTCGAGGACGAGGAGGCAAACAAAGCGCCTTGGTGAGAACAATTGATATTGCATTGTGTTACCATGTATTTTTACCTGTCCTTGATACCAACGGTAAATCCTTGGAGGAAAATTTTCGATTTTTCAGTCCTAGAGCATTTTTCGACTACATTTTTGGAAAAGAAATAAAACGAAATTGGACGCGATCGCAAGGTATGGGGCATTGTTATATCAACGCGATCATAATCACATGAAGCAAGAAATCAACTCACTTTTGTATAAAAAAAGGG